CACTACCTTCCTGCAAAACCTGCTCCCTGGTTGACTGTCTGTACCTGATTCTCTGGTGACCCAGGACTTGGACTTAGACATGACACAGACATGAGAGGTCCCACTCTCTGAGCATGGCCTTGGTGCATAGCCAGTACTTACACTCACCCACAGGGACAAGGTCCAGAGTCTCACCAGCCACGCAGCAAGTGCCCCATGAGCCAGAGTTGCTAGTACACATATCAAGTGCTTGGCTGGCCTCCTTGGGTAATGCAGACGAAGCATTTGTGAGATGGTGCATGGCAGCTGGTTGGCCCGGAGCCCTTCTAGTCTTTCTAGGTCCTGCACACCCAAACAGTTTAAGCAGGCAGGCCCACAGGATGTAGATGTGGCTTGTGAAGGGTCTATCTTTGGCTCCAGAAAAAGGCCTGTTACCCCACTGACCAGTTGCTAACAACCAAGTCCAGCAGTGAAATTTCACAAGATGCCTGAAGCATAGATCATCTTGATAAGGTCAGCAACTTCTGTGTCTGTCATCCCAGGAGACAAAAAGAGGAAATGGATTAAGCAGAAGATCTGTGTACCACAGATGTTGTATAACATTAACCCCTCACAAGGTCCCCCCCACTTCCTTGCACACATTGGAAGTGACCTGTGAGAGCAGGGAGGGAGGAAGCTTTTTTAATTATTTTTTTTGCTAAAAACCTACCACAAGGCCAAACAGGCTTCATACCAGGGGAGCCATACCAGGGGGCAACAGTCCCAGCTTCTCCTTCAGGATGAGGAGCCAAACTGCAGCACTGTTGAGGTGTCTTCCTTCTGCACACATGGAGCTGTTGTGAACACACTGAGGTGCTTTAAGGTGGGTACAAGGTGTGTGATGTGCTGAGTAATCCAGGTTTGTTGTTCCCTTTGTATGTGTGTGGTGGGTTTTTTTTTGTTTTGTTTTTTGTTTTTTTTTTGGGGGGGGGGGTGGAAGGTTGTTGTTGTAGTTTTTCCAAAAGCAATTAAACGGGTAACTCTTCAAACTGCCATTTCTGCAAAACCAAAATTTGTGAGCAACTTTGAGCAACCTGGTCTAGTGGAATGTATATATCCCTGCCCCTGGCAGAGCCCCCTGGGCTGTGCAGTGAGAGTAGCAGCTACCACAGGAAGGTGGAGGTGCAACTACACATTATGACATTACAGGAGCAGAGTGGCGCAGCGGAAGCGTGCTGGGCCCATAACCCAGAGGTCGATGGATCGAAACCATCCTCTGCTATACGTTTTGTTTCCTTGTTTTAATTGCCAGGACGACAGAGGCGGCTGTCCCCCACCCAGCAGCATCCTGTATAGGGGCAGCGCCTGGAAAAGGCCTGAAAAGGGCGCCTAAAAACCTTCATCCCAACAGGGCCGGTTAGCTCAGTTGGTTAGAGCGTGGTGCTAATAACGCCAAGGTCGCGGGTTCGATCCCCGTACGGGCCAGAGGTTGATTTTCTTTCTCCCTTTTGTTTTCCTTCTTCCTCTCCCGGTCTCGTCTGCCCTCAGCCGGCAGCTGACAGAGATAGAGAACGCCCTGGAAGGGCCAGCACCGTGCAACCAGGGTGGGTGGGGAAAGCAGCTCAGGGTGACAGTTCTAAATACATAAATAAATAAATAAAAGAAAAGCACACACACACAAATCCACCACTCAACAGAAAAAATCGTATAATAATGAAAGAAAAAATCTAATAAGGAAACAAAGGGAAAAAAAAGGCACTAGCAGAGGATGGTTTCGATCCATCGACCTCTGGGTTATGGGCCCAGCACGCTTCCGCTGCGCCACTCTGCTCCATGATGAAAACCTTTTCCCCAGTCCTTTATATAGGGACAGATAAGTCCTGTTTTTTTTTTGTTTTGTTTTGTTTTTTGTTTTTTTTTTTTCTCCATATGAATTCTTCCTTGTTCTTTTCAGCCTTTGAGGATGTCCTTACATTCCCCGGGAGAACTTTGTCCCTCATTTTCACTCAGGTCCCTCACTATCCTTCCGCTGAAGGTTTTCACTCATATTTGAAAAAGACAATGTTCGCTGCATACTAAAGCCAACAGCGCTTATACAGGAAGGGGAAAAATGCCAAAAATCACTTTGCACAGAAACTCAGTGACTAATCAGTGCGCAACACATACACCTGATTAAGTACTGAATACGGTCAAAATGGAAAAAAGCAATGGTGACTCTGAAAAATATATGATCACCATCACCATGTCATCATCACAGCCTGCTGCACTGGAGGTAAGACCTAGGTAACTGCAGTGCTTCTTATTATATATAAGTGGCCTCTTATTATATATGTTTCCCTTCCTAAGTCAATAGGGTCGGGTGAGCTTTAGTAGTTCCTCCAAAACATCCCAGGTCTGGGTCTCCAGCAAGCAGCACACTCCCCCAGACAACAGGTCCCCCACAGCAGGGAGTCACTGTGCCTCACCTTTGCAAAAGATTTGAAGAAACAGGATATAAAGGAATGCACTGCACTCTTTATTCAGCTTGATAGCATGGAAAGGAGAACAGGAGGGTCTGCTCAGGAAAAATGGACATCAGGAAAGGAAAAGTGATGATCCACAAGACTGAGGAGAATGCAGTAGGAGGATGTTGTAGAAGCCTAGAAGCAGGTGGGTAGGAACAACACAGGAGGTACCCTGAGCTGCAGCAGGATAAATAGAAAAAATGCAGACATGGAACTAAAGAGAGAGGAAGCAGTGACCATGCAGGCAAAACCACTGTTGTTAAGTACTGTTTATTCTCAAAGAAGGTCAACGTACTTCACAGAGTTTGAGTCACATCTCAAGCCTGCTCATTCATATTCCAGGGAAAAAGCAGCCCTTCATCTGCTCTCTTTTACCAGCAAATTCAATTAGGATAACTAATGCATTTGCCTCTACTAGGCAGCGTGGTTGTTTCAGATGTTTTTTCTTGGAGGTGTGAGGGTTGGAATAGGTGCACTTTCTTGCCAGATCACAGCAGGAAATACCCAGACCTTGCCAGCGATGAAAAAGCTCATAAACTCTCACTTGGATGTCCTTCAAAGTGTATTACTGCAAGATATTAACTAATTCACTCCCATTTCTAACTCCTACCCTTTAAAAGTTCTGATCTCCATAGATGGGTTGCAGACTCACGACTTCCACAGATAGTTCTCTAACAGGGTTTTCAAACATATACCAACACTAGCAAAACCCCTTAACTGTGCTGGACTGACAGATACTCCAAAACATTCATGAGATCTCCATGACTCTTGGAAACGTTATCCATCCCCCACCAAGAATGGAGACACTTTCTCCTAATTAGGGAAATGGATTTCACTAACAGCTCCTGAGCTACTTAGGCCATAGCAAGTACACCCACTGCCAGGATAGGCCCTGGAATGATGAATGACAACACTTAACACTAACAAATCCACTTACCTGTTTTAGCTACTTGCATGTATCTTACTGTAAAGTGATGAAGCTATTCTCTCCCTTTGTCTAGCACAATGCCCTCATTTAACCTGGCTCATTAGGCAAAGGGTTCTGTAACTTAAAAAAATCACTTTACTGTCATTAGAGAAACTAAATGTTACATGATTACACTACATGAGGGGTCAAAGTGCTTTTTAGATTAAGATGCTAAAACTCACCTGAGCATGCACATGGAGTGAATCAGTTAAAGAACAAGAACATACCCCCATCGGACAGTGAGGTTCCAGTGCAAGATACAATCATTATAAGGCTCTTCCTTTGACAATATATGACCTAGCTCAGTACTTAATTCTCATCTCTTAAATCAGCCAAACATGGGTACTGATTGGTACTGATGGGTACTGATTGGTAAGTGCATGGTGAACAACCATATCATGCAGCACTTGTTTTGTACATATTATTTATTTTCTGTCCTATTAAACTGTCTTTATTTCAACCACAAGATTTTTACTACCCCCCTGCCTCTTATTCTCTCCCCCCATCCCACTGCAGGTGGGAGAAGGGTGAGCAAATGGCTGTGTAGTGCTGTGCTGCCTGCTGGGTCAAACCACAGCAGTTGTCAGCAGAATTTTTGGAAATAAGAAACACCACCACATTCCATGTGTTACAAATCATGTTTGTAATGATTAATACACACAATACAATTTTTATACATCTTCAAGCATCAAAATACATCAGTGCCAAGGTCCTAGTTACTGTTGCCTCCACTGCTCTTTCCAGGTGCTCCTGATTTCTGCAGCCGGCTTGCACTTGGTTGCCGAGGCATCCTCTGGGCAGATCCTTCCCTGCTGCTCCTTTCTGCTATCACCTGGGTCCCACTGACAGCAGAACTGGTTTTATTTCTCCCTGAATGAACGAAACACATACATTAGTGGCAGTCCTGTGTCACCCATACAGCATTTAAGCTGCAAGTGTTTAAGAAATCATGCTAAAGGCAAAATTGTATTAGATGTCGCAAGTGTATCCAGCATCCAACACAGAAAGCAAGTTTGTGAAATCAGGGCCACAAGAACAAAATAAGTTGCAGTAGGAGCATTATTAGTTTTAACATACAAAGTAACCAGCCACTTTGTTCTTTAAATACCTGCTTTCATTTGGCACAGGAATACCAGCACTGCAAACAGCAATTCAAAAACATGAAGAGCACCTAACACCTCTGGGCTGGGATAAGTGAACTGATGCGCCACTGCCCACCTCTTTCTAAAGCCTGCAGTCAGTGTCGGATCAGAAAACCTCACTTGTGATTTGACAGGCAAGTTTGGGTTTCCTATCATTTTCTGGAGTATCCAGGAATTCAGGCGCCTACACAAAATCAGTTACTCTCAGATTTTCTTACCGGGTTCAGAAGATAACAGAGCTGCCTTTCTGTAGGTGCGACTGACCATCTCTACAGTGCAATATGACAGCAGAGACGACAATGGGTAGAAAGGTACAAGTTGAATGAAGCAAGGGGCATACAGTCCACCCTGCCAGATTCAGCCACAGGAGAAAGACTGACAGACTAAGATGTGCTACAAACAAGTGACTGCAAGGGAAAAGTGAGGAAGACTGATGCTTCCTGGCAGAGAGGATTACTTCAGATGAGAAGTAATATTTGCATTAGGAAAGAAAAAATAAAGAACAAAGAAATTATTTAGAAGGGCTCAAGATAGTCACGGTTTTTATTAAAGATAGCAAGCACCAAGAAGCACTGCTAAACACGAACACAGTAAGGAGCAAACAAAGCACAAGAAATCCAGTGAGCTGTTTTTCCCTGAGTATCTATAATTACACGCATGCAATTAAAATGGAGAGCGACATCTTAGTAATCACAACAGAGCAAATTGCAGAATGCCAATAGCTACTCCTCACACGAGAGTCTCCATGGCCATCTGGATCACCTTGGATCTGTGCTGCCAACAGGGCACACACTGGAGATGTGTCTGTCTTACTTACCAAACTGACCTGTCTCTCCTTGGAGTAACTGTCTGAAAACAGCACTCCCATCAATACTACAAATTCATGCCTCACAGTACTGGAAGGACAACCTGTGAACTTCTAGGTAAGAGTATGTGGCCCCTTCACATCTGTAAAATTTGACAAACTAGGTTAGAAAAAGAAATGCATTCACTTATCCCAGCCAAATCAGGTGTTCTTAAAAAAAATAACCTATTATTGTAAACCACGCTAGTGATCTGCCAAGTCATCAGCCCAAGCCAGCCAACCAGCCTTGCAGATTTTCTTTGTAAAGCTCAAGCTTGTAAGCACTTCAGCAGTTTTACTAATGCAAGTATTGTCTATGAAAACAAACAAATTGCACAAAGGCAATACACGATCTCACAGTATTTAAGAGAAAAGTCTCTTAACATCTCAAACAAAGCATTAAGAGTTCACCATGATGCTTTAAGCAGTACAGTACGTCTCTATATGGGTGTTCTCCTCTTCCTCACATGCATATACCAACTGAGAGTGCAGGTTCCCAGCCTGTGTATGATAGCTCTAACCATGTGCACATACAGACAACTGTACCGTTACGTGCTACCAGGAGTCAGGTCCTTGATCTTCTGACCTAGCTGAAATGACTTGGGTAGAAAGATTCACTCTGTAAAGAAAAGCTATGCTCAGATAAAACATGCCCTCCATCCTCATAGCCTTGACATCACACTAAAACAAACCAGTTACTTCCCACACCATAAAAGTCACCTGTATTTTTGGAAGGATCATCTCTAGACCTGCGCACTGGACAAGAGCAGCTCATCAAGCGTGCAGCAACAGACATGGTTTGTGAACTTCCACTATCAGGAATATAAGGGTCCACTAGTGCAAAGCACAAGAAGTTTACCCTCTGCAATTCAAGCAGTACGGACTAGCAAAAGGATTCCACTGCTATTTACCTCACTGACACAAGATGCCCTGGTCTTGGAGGTGTCTGGCTGTCCCAGAACAACTGTAGCCCAAGCAGTTACAGATACAAGAGTCAAGTCAAAAGAGGGATTTCTCTCTGCCCAAAGATGACCCCAGAAGCAGTGGTTACATCTGCACCTCCTCGAGAACCTTACATAGTTTGAGACGAATGGATGTGTGTGCACGGCCTACCTCTGACCGCTAGCACCAGTGCAAGTTGTGCATAGGCTGCTCACTGAACACATTAATGCCAAACACCTCTAACAAAAATGCAGTAAAAAAATGCTACAGCTGCCTCTAGGAGACCACCATCACTCCAAACCTTTACGAGATACCAAGAGAGGAGCCTGCAGGGCAGGAAGAGACAGTTTTAAGAGGCAGAGAGAAGAAACACTATCTTTGATTATAGCACAAGGCAAGCAAAGACCAAACAAACTTAGGAAAGGAACCCCAAATACACTTTCAGAATTGGAAATATAAAGTTCTTCTCCTACAGCCCACTCTCTACTCAATCTTCTACCTTCCTCAGGGGGTCCTTTCCCACTTCTGAGCAGTAACAGGAACTGCAAAATTTCTTCCCTCTGGCATGAAAAAGAGGAAGAATCCATCAGCTGCTGCTGTGAGTACCTTTATTTGTAACGCAGTCTGGGAGGATTAGCATGTCAGGGCTGCAACAACCTCTAACACCTTTACAGTGTATGGGCAATGACTATGGGCTAGAGTAGATTTAAATTCACCACAATCCTGTTTCTGTCTCTCAGTAGGGCTTACATTAGGCACAGTAAGCCAGCTGGCCTTCCAAGATGAACAAAGACTCAAGGCTGGATGAAAAGAACAGCTTGTAAGATTGGAATCTTGCAACCATGACGTGGTTACCAGAAGGACTAAACTTTTGCCCACCTACTGGTGGCTGGCACAGTGATGGGACTTTTTTCACGATTAGGAAGTGATGAAATTTGAAATAAAATCTCAGTCGCAGCTAGACCTCACTCTTCAAAGCACTTATGGCTCTCATTCTCAGTCCTTCACCACACAAACTAGCAGGTTCTCAAGGCCTCCAAAGCTGTCAAGGTACTTGTAACAGCTCGTACACAACGAGGCACACAGGCTAAAACATCACCCCAGCTAAAGCAGCCTCCCTGAGGAGACACAGTCAGGAAGCCAGGTACAACTGGCAAAAGGTGCTTCAACAAATCCATCCAACTAGTTCTGAAACAGAGGAAGAGGAAAAATAAGTTTTCAAATGCAGAAAAGTCATTTTCTAAGACCTTCGGTATGCATTAAGGCAAATGGAGCAGTGGATCATTATTTGAACACACGCTTTCTCTCTTTCACACCTACATGTGAAAGTACACGGTTCCACACTTACCTTACAAATGAGAATGTGTAGAAAGAAGAGAACACAAAATAATCTGCAACCTACACGGGCCCCCAAATCACCTGCACAGAACTTACAGCCTCTTCTCTAACATGCCTGTTCACTTGAATCAGGTTAGGTATTCAACTTCATTACTCAGTACCGCATGCTGAGTTGCAGCATCCAGAACAGATTTTTCCCACCCACAAGATTCAATAAAATGAGAAATATAAAGTTTACACTTCAGTTTTGAGAGCACGTTATTTCCACAAAAATATTTTGCTCTATGTAACGAAGCCACCTATTGTTTCAAGACTAGGTCTACATCAGGTTTAGAGTGTTGCAGCCAACAGCCTAGACTTTCTGTAAGTTACTTGCAGGACAAGGAAAAGAAAAGAAAAGCTGTGTGTTCTGTTTCTGCCACTAAGGATAACCACTTCACTACCATCTGCATTTTGGTCATGCGAAGATTTGGTAGCTCCCTGGTAGAGAATGGGAACTACATTTTTTAACCAGTCAAGAAAGCAAAAAGCTGAGCAGCTTCTTAATCACTTGTTAATCAGGAAAGCACTCTATCTCCTGCGCAGACTAGGAGATTGCACTGGTGCCATGCAAAAATCCATACACCAGGCAAGAGCACAATGAAAAGCAAGCTTATGTTAACAAATCATTTGGTACAAAAAATTAGTTGGGGCAAAGCCCTGGAAAGGAACTTCACACAAGGCATTTGGGCTGGAGAATGAGAAAATGTGGAAAAGATATTGGAAGTGAAAAGAGGAGGACTGTCAAAGAACATTGACTTGTCTAGAAAAAAAAAAAAAAAAGAGCAGGGCATTGGCAAATGTATGGTAATAGAGGGGTAGAAAACTGCACACAAATCACCAGTGGCTTGAGGGTGAGGTGGGCAGACAGGAAAAGCAAGCATGGAACCAATACATAAAGCCATATTTAAGTGCACAACAGCAAATTATACAAACGCCTAGTCTAAACTAAACCCAACACCACTGTCCTAATGGGCGTGCACAACTCTCCCTTGCATTTATGGGAAGAAATTGCCCAAAGAACACCCCTTCCTTTTAAAATAAGCTCTTCCTCTCCCAGATCAATTATCGCGACAACCACTTTGGAATGCAGCTTACATGAAGCTGTCTCTAGCTAAGCATGCCAGATGGCTGGTCGAATAGTCAGACAGTAATTCTGAGGCAGTTATGAGTTGTTACCAACAAACAACTCTGTGCAGAACGCCACTGCTATATTCTATGGAAAACACAATATAAAGTCATTTCTATGATTCCCTGCTGCTTAAGAGCTTTAGCTGTATAAAAAGCCGAAATAACTACAGAGGTGAGGAGAGGAAAGTGATGTGCTTTCCTACGCCTGCTCCCAGCAATGCTTATCAGAGTAAGTCTTTTTTTAACTGCTTTAAAAAACCTCCCTGCATCACAATGAGCTGAGAAGCTTTAGCTGATATCTCACTGTTACTGATGAAACTTGAAGAAAGCAGACTCAGCTAATGTTTAGTGAGACCTGGATTACTTCAGCCACTTGTCTGTCTTCTGACAAAGGAGGAAGCACAGGAGAAAGAGCAGATATGCAGAGCTGAACAACACTGTGCAAAGCAGCTTGGCAAGCTTGTGTACAACAATCGCTGCTCTCTGCATCAGCGCAAGGAGCTCTGGCTGCGTCAGCAGACAAGTCCCAGCTATGCAGAGGGGGCATCTCCCATCTCCAAACGCCTTGTCCTGCGCAGAAGCCACGCCATCCTCTTCTCAAAAATAAGCAGCATCTTCCAACAAGAGATGGCAGGGCCAACAGCAGATACAGCTTTGGTTCCCCTTCCCCACGGCAGCTCCTGAAGGGAAAGAAGGCAAGGCAAACCAAAAACCCCTGCAGCACGGATACAGCCCAGAGGACACCCCCAGTCACCCTGTTAACACTTACCCCAACTCCTGAACTGATGATGGACTGTGTTCAGAACCAGAAAGTTCAATGAATGAGTAAGCCTGATTCCTCCTCCTCTTCAGTTTGAGCTAACTACTTGCTTCTCCAATTTAAGTAGAGAAAATTAGCCTGAAGACTCATTGATTTTAATGGGATTTGTATGTCAGCAACACACTTTGCCCTAAGAGCTTCAGTAAAACAAGCTGCTGCCTTGACATGCAGATAGTTCACACCCTAATACAGCCTGGTGTGGTCAAGGGAAACACAGACAAGGCTGGCATTGATGGTCCCGTTCTGCTTTACTGTGTTACCAGCTCCCACAAACTGAGATCTCTCTCTGGAAATCTGTTTTCATGATCTTTGACCAAGAATCTCACACATCTTCCTCCAGCACTCCATGCACATCGCTCCAGGTGCCTACACTGCACTGTGATATCAGACCTAAGATGGGCAGAGTTGTACAAAACTGCAGTTATGGTGGCACAGGACTGTTAGCTTGCACTTGAGGACCATCTTCAGTCAGGCTAGGCACTCCGCTAACACAGCCCCTCCTTGACTGAGTCACAGTAAGCACAAACATCTCCCATCTGAGAGGGGACAGAAGTAAATCCTCACAAGGAGGTCTAGGAAAAAAACACGCGCTCTTCTCAGTGTTAATGAGATCTCACTGGCACTTCTTATACTCACAGAAGTGAGGATGCAGGACTAAGATTGTGATAAAACACTATCAGATGTAAAGTTCTGCCCAAAGAATGTCCAGAGATTTAGATTTCAGCGGTGAATTTATTCACAAGGACATTAGCCACTGTTCAACATCAGGAGGTGCTGGGTGATGACAAAGTCACTTGAGCTGACAAATTAAAAAGAGAAATCTTCAAAGTTAGCGACCGCTATGAGCCCTCATGCAGCAAAACCTTCCAGAAAATTTAAAAAATAATAATAAATAAAAACCACACCTGACACAACTGGGAAGACCAAACCTTCTGGCAAAGAAGCACAGCACTGCCCATCAGCATCGGGCCAGGGATGAACGTGTTGTGAGAGGAGGCCAAAGCTCACCTCTACCACCAGTACTAAGCATCAGCTCAGTGAAAATCCGAGGCCAGCATTGGACTGATACACTCTGCAGGTACCTGGGCGAACATTAAAATTGTGGCTTAACGGGAGTGATCCTCCAGTCTCAGTAAGCCACACATGATCCAGTGATCAGAGTGTATTCTGTAGCCCTGAAGACCTGTGTTAGACTCATGAAATAAAGCAGAAATGTGAAATAAAGCAGCAATAAGATATACAAAAGCCCAAGGACTGGCAGCAGCGGGGGCCTGAGGCAAGAATGCAGTCAGGCTTGGGCACATCTTGGACCAGGAGACGCTCTGCTTAAAGATGCAGAGTGAACATCCTGGATTGATGAAGGGAAAACTGATTTAAGACCCCAAGACTGATGTTAAGTCCTAGAAACTCAGGCTCTTTAATGTGTTTGCACTACCTCTAGTGGTAGGAGGCAACTGCTGAGGGAGGCAACTCTACCATAGGGTTTCTGACTTCCTCTTGAGGAATTTAATGCTTGTTAAGAGAAGAGTCACCACCTAACCATTTCAAACTGGAGTTGGCCTACAACTAGCTAGAAGTAGCTTGTGGCAGTGGCCCAGTATTAGAAGAAACTGGTTGTTTTGTTCATATTTTTAATGGAAAGTACTATGTAAACAGCATTACAAGAGAAGAAAAGATACTCCAGATTAACAGACAAACAAGAACAAACACATCACCCAAAGTTCATTCATAGTTTGCAGGGCCCACAACACCTGAAGCACCAAACAAGAACAAGAGAGCAGGATTTAAAGCATCGTTTGTTCAGAATTGCTACTCTCTTATTTTGAGACATTTCCTCTCAATGTGGCAAGGAACAGCAAGCTGGGGCTTTCCTAAAATATCCAAGTGCTGTGCCCCTCTCACTTTGCTCAAGAAAAATAGCCAGGTGTCTTTTTCCTCTGTGCATAATTAAAAATCTCATACGCGAGTCTGTTCTCTTTACCATTCATATCCTCTCACCAGTAAACTTTTAATCAAGAACACCTCTTTCAGCAAGTAAGAGGAACCATCAGGTCCTGGGAGTCCAGGACATTACCTGCACACCCAAATTCCAGTTAAGGCTTTAGTAAACTTCCTCAGCCTCCATGCTACCCCCAGCTGCTCAATGAGGCGAACTGCACCCATTTACCATGTGGAAATACACATTAGAAGTAGCAGGCTCTGCTACTGTGAAGGTGCATAATCAATCTTACCCTGAAACCGACTGCTTGAAGATATTAAAGTGAATCTTGCCTTTCGGATCTGCTCTCTGTAGGACATGCCATCAGATACACAGGCCTGCAAGCACAGCCAGCTGCTGTACAGAATAAGCACTCCCTATCACCCAGGCAGTCTCAGCAGTGAGACTAGACCAAGTTGCAGTACGATATCATGACAGAAGAAGAACCTTACTTGCCCTCAGCCTTACTCATCACCTACACTGACAGACAAGATTTTCTTTTTTCCATCACTCTGTGTTCCCAACACAGTGGCTGCTGGCAAAAGTTTTCTTTTTAAGTTTTACTACAGAATTCTTCATGGGTCAACATGTCCTCATCAGCTACAGTGGAGTTTTCACCCTGAAACACTGGGAGGAAGGGAGAACAGAACACAATAAAATTCAGCTTGACCTCATCTATTTCCACACTCCCACTCAGCAACCATCAAACCCCTGTTAGAGGGGCTGCAATCCTGAGGTGTGAAGCAAACCTATCTTTCAGCATACAGTTTTGTTCTTGTCAACCATGCCAAACATCCATGAAACCACTCTGTTTTGTCCACTGCCCCCTTTTACTACATTCCTAAGCTCAAAAGAAGTGAGAGCTCTCCTGCATGGCAAATTTAAGCTTAGTGACAGCAGACTTGTTTTAGTTAGCCCTTTCGAACCTTTCGGAAGTAACACACAGATGTGTCACGCTACCAGCCAAAAGCCACTTCAGGAAAGTAGAGGGAATCAAGTTTTATTAGAACTGGCTTGGAAAGCATATGGCACAGCTTCGGGGCTACATTTATTGCTGACCTCTGAGGTCAGAGCAGTAAGAGTGATTATATTCCAAAGCAGTCGCTGCTATAGGTGACAGCTCCACGCAGCCTCCCAATTCCACATCACACCCCCACTAATAAAAAACATTAATTTGGGGCACGGGAACCAGCACCAGCTGCGGTGCTGCTACACGTGGATGGAGCAGCCGAAGCAGCTCAGCTCCTGCTCCCAGCGCTTCCTAGCACACACCAGGCCCCTTCTCCTGACACCCACTCCGGGTCGCCCCTCGGAGGGAGCCCGGCCAGGGGCCAAACCCCGGGGGGCTGCGGCAGCTCGGGCCCGGCCGCCTCACACGGAGCGGGCTCCGCGAGCCTCCCGCGTTGGAGGCGGCCCCCGGGGCCCGGCCCCGCCGCCGGGCCGCGCCGCCAGCAGCAGCCTCGGGCCCTGCCGCCCGGCCCTCACCCCTCGCCCAGGGGCTGCCGAAAGCCCGAGGGGCCGAGCCCCCGGCGCCGAGCCCGCGGCGCGGCCGGCGGGCGGCGCGGAGAGGCAGCGGGGCAGCGGGCGGCAGCAGGAGGAGGAGGAGGAGGAGGCAGCCGGAGGGCGGACACCGGAGGGCCGCGGCAGCCGCAGGGCGGAGGCGAAGGCGAGCGGGTCCTGCGGGGGCTCTGTGCGGGAGAGACGCAGAGAGGTCAGGGCCCGCCGCCGCCCCCCTGCCCGCTGCCCGCTCCCCGCTGCTTTACCTCGGCTGTCGGCGGGGAGCGGCGCCGGCGCGGCGGGGGCTCCGCTCTCGCTGGCCGCCGGCAGCCGCTGCCCGGCGCACATGGACTTGAGCACCTGGAAGACGGCGAGCGGAGCCACGTTCATGCGCAGCAGGTCCAGCAGCACCCTGCGGGGCGGCCGTCAGCGCGGGGCACCGGGGGGAGCACCGCACCCGGGGCGGGGATGCTCCGCCGTGCCCCGCGCTGCCCGCCCCGCCGCTCACTTGAACACCTCCGGGTCCAGCCCGCTGCCCGCCGCCTGCGCCAGCTCGAACAGCTCCGCCTCCTCCGCGCTCAGCACCTTCCTCCGCGGCCTCGCTGCCGCCGCCGCCGCTTTGCCCAGCGCCGCTCCCGACATGGCGGCCCCGTGCAGCCGCCTCTGGCCCCGGCCCGCCCCGCGGCACCGCCCGCCCGCGGCCGCCAGGGGGCAGCAGCGCCTCAGCCCGCGGCCTCCCCGCCCGCGCAGCCGCAGGGCTGGGGTAGACGAGGCGACCAAAAGTGTGACCCCCTGTGAGGCAGCCCCACTGTGCCCCAATTTCTTCCTGTTTGTTTTTTTCTTGAGGCACCCGCTGGTTTTGCTTCCCCTCACCCCGGACAATAGCTGCCACAGAGGGCTGAGTATCCATCGCTGGGCGCATTCACGCACCTGGCCGTCCACCTTTGCAGGGCTCCGGTGCCTCTGACATGCTTCAGTTCCCAGCAGGGAGCATCTGGCGGCGTGTGAGGAAGCAAATTGGAAATTTGGGCCTTGAGTCGCGAGGCAGACGTCAAGCTGAGATTGAAATTCTTCTATCTAAATGGAAATCAGCATCGCCTCTGCCATCGGGGGGGGGGGGGGGATCGCCTGCCCCACTCCCCCCAGCTCCGTGCAGATGAGTGGCTGGCAGAGCTGGAGCGAGGGCACGATGCAGGGATGTCACCTCCAGGCACCACTGCAGGAGACCCCAGCCCATCCCTGCAGTAACCCACAGGTGTACACTGCTGCTTCGCACCCCAAGAAAGCTGCAACCATGTAAAAATCAGCACCCGCCACAGGGTGACCTGACCGTGTGTCCTCACAGGCGTTCAGCCTCAGTAACAGGCAGATATTTACTGTAGCTGCCAAGACAAGAACAAGACATACGATGATAAAAGAAGGATCTTGCTGCTAATGGCCCTGAGCGGGACCAGCCCGCGGGGACAATTATCACAGCACTGATAGCAGGAGCAGCGGCTGCCAGTGTGAATTACCAGCAGCGCCACAGCTGCAAAGCATGAGGCAGCCCTGAACCATGGGCTTTGGGAAGGGCCTTCGGCTGAGTGGGGCAGTTTGGGGTCGGCGCTGGGGAGAAGGCTGGGTGACGTCCTTGTGCTTACTCGCTTGCCTGCTCAGCTAAATGATGTGCAGGAAGCACTGTGGGAATGGTTGGAAGTCAAATGCAAGGGCAAGAGGCCTCACTGTGTGGGTGATGCGCTCCCCAGCCCTTCCTCATCCCACCTGGACTACTTCCAACGCGGCATCTGAGAGCTCAGCTACAAGTCACAGCAGAACAGGGCAAGATGCTTTTTAGCATCCTGCAGCCTCTGGGGAAAAAACAAACAAACAAACAAACAAACAAACAAAAAAACACCTTTCCTACAACAAATTGGAGGAGTCTCAGCTTCTACCCCTCCTCAACATCCCCAACAGTTGCGCTCTGGCTGCCAGTACCACATCCAGGGATTAAAACCTTCCCAGGGCAAGTGATGGGAGATCCTGCCTCTCCCATGTTTCCTTCATGGGCTGTCACAGGTCGTAGCTGTGGGTTACAACTTCCTCACTTTCCTTAGTGTAAGCCTGGATAGGAATGTTCCGCAATTTTTTCGGAGTGACAGCAGTCTCCTCTGGGTTGCTGGACGTTGCATGGTCCCCTCTGCTCTCTGAAGCACTTCTGGTGTCTCTGACAGGACAGTTTTCCCCTTTTGCTCTACGAAGCCAACAGGTCTGTAGAGGAAGTCATTGACAGCCCACAAACATCCTCTTGGAAAACCTTCAGTTCCTGGAGCTGCAATCTGAGTGGCACCTGAAGCTCTGGACAAATGACACCCGCCAGACATCTGCCCACCAGACACCCTCCACTACCTCTGGCAGGACTTTTAACACCTTTGCAGCCCATGGTTTCCAGAGCAGGCCATCAGCCAGGGCAGCCAAGGGTGGTGGTGCAAGGCTGCACCTCAGCCCTTGTAAGACATGGTTAGGAGAGGGGCAGGGCAGATGGTCATGGGCAGAGATGTCTCAGACAGACCATGTGTGTGGAAGGAAAAGGGAATTGCGTGCAGCACAGAGCCCAGACTTTACCATAAATTGCTAGCTGGGGTGCTCAGATGTCAGGTCACGGTGATAGTGCTTGCACACACAAAGCAAGCAGCGCTGCACTGCGCCTGCACAGGGACTGCACAGCACATGCATGGGAAACCAGGACCCGTCACTAACACACGTGGTAAGTTTGGATGTCATGAACACATGGAGGCCACACTACACCACATGGAGTGGCTTCCCATCGCACGGGCTGTAAATCTGAGACTGCCCTGTGCACAAGTGGCAAATCAGGCAGCCTTGGAGAGAGGCAGCGGCACGTGTGAGCAGCAAGTCAAGGCACTCTACGTGAGGCAAAGAGGTGCAAGACCCTGCCCTGTAAATCAGCACATACTATAAGCATGGCCAGAGAGAAGCGCACTGAGCACAGGCACTAAAACCAGACGTGCTGTGAATGTGCAGAGAGGTAGCCCTTAATGCGCGCAGTAAATCAGGACATGCTGTGCATGCGCAGAGAAGCCATAATGCTGCATATGGGCAGTAAATCACAGAGCACTGTACCCGCACAGCAAGCCCACCCCGAACATGAACAGTGAGAGAGGACACGCATGTGCAGAGCCATCGGTCCCACACAGACACCAATCAGGACTTGCCGTGCACTGCCATTTAACAGAGAAAAATTCAGTATGCATAAATTTATCCTGGAAATGAAAGACTTGTAGGTCATCAGGCTGAACAAGATGTGATGGAGAGAGTGCCTGAGGCACAACCACCAGATGAGGACACACTTCAAATGCATGAGATGAGGCTCAACCAGGAGGTGCTGCGTGAGAGCAAGGAGGAAAGCAGCAAGGTCATCTCACTGTGAATGTGGACCAGATTTAGGATTACCTGGGTAGAGCTCAAATAGCAAAGAAATTGAGCTAATGTGCCTCCCACATCCAGGATAGGGAAAAGAGAGATTAAAACATATATAGGCTTTTGTAACCTTGTGAGGCTCTGACCATATTCTGAAGGAAATCCTTCAAGATAGGCAGGCAAATGGAAACAGAATTTCTCACAGAAACATTGCATCAGTTTAATATAATGATTTTTCTTTCATAATTGACTTCTTAGACAAGAAGATGCAGCACGTGTATGCTGGTTGGAGTTAAAGTTTGATTTGCCACTCAATAGGAGCCAGTTTCCGATGATGGAAGTGATGGGTATGGTTACAGCAGAGGAACCAGCTAATTAAGTAAACAATGGGTTATATTAACAGTAGTGTCTCTGAGCAGAGATATTTCTAGCACTTCTTCTCCACCGCCCATCTCAGAGTGACCCCACTAATACAAACAGCAAACACTTCAGGGGTGAGTGAAGGTGAGTTTTCAGGAGGGACGCTGCTGCGTCAGTTGCGAGGCACTGGGAAGATCTCACCAAAAGATCTGCCCAAGCATGCTGTTTTGGAGACATCTCTCCAAAGATTTGTGCAAGGAAAAGGGCAGAACTCGTCACAAGCATAGACTGAAAATTAAGTGGAAGCATCCAAGCACAGATATTTTTCAACAATTTTTAAACAGGGCACCAGGAGCAAGTAACCGCTTTGAGATGATGCTGGGAAAGTACACCAAAAGGACTGAGCAAGGGTGGTCTCCGAACTGGGAGCTGAAACTTGCCCCTTGTGTCAAATAAGTCAGTCTCCACAAGAAGATTTGAAAGGAGGCATTCAGCTGGGCCATGTGCATGCCACATGCATGTGTGTGCTATGTATGTGCTACACCGCACGTTTTGCTGGTAGCCTGCAGGGATCAGGAACAATTTTCTCCATTTTGCTATAAACTTTGGCAGCTGAGCTTTGGGGTTATTTGATCCTTCTCCTGCAGCACTGGAGACTGCTGTGGCTGGAAACAGAATACTGGGCACTGTTTTCAGTGACATTCAAGGGATGCAGGCATTGCTGGCAGGGCTGGGGTTTAAACTAATCACTAGACTTGGGTTTAAAGGGGCTTCTGCCCTGAATCAGCCTTTCACCCCTCCGGGCTGCCTTCCTTCTGCAAGCCTGCCTTTTGGCCAGCGCAGTTTTGTGCAGGAGCGAGCGCAGCCCTGAGCTGGCCCAAAACCAGGCGGAGCAGCACAGGGCTCGGGGGCTGTGCCAGCTCTGACCTGACCACCATGCAAGAGCATGCTCCCAGCAGCACTAATCCAATTACAAAACAAACTTCTTTCATTATCGGGGCCTGCAGCACGCTAAAACAGCTTGGCGATTACGGAGGGCTTAGCAAGGGACTAGAGATCAGGCGATGAATGACAGAGCTGTTTCGCTGACAGGGAGGAGGGATGGGGAACAGGCAGCTGGGAGGGCATGGGGGATTGGGACAAGTGGGGTGGGAATTGCTACAAAGGAAGGTCCTTGCTCCACCTTCATGCCCTCAGTGGGGTTAATCTCAGAGCCACATCAGGCTTCTCATGCCTTTGTCCACCCTGGACATGAGCATACTCATGAATGGGAATCCCCCGTCATCTCTCTAGCCCTGTTACACGCCTTTCCCACTTTTATTTCCAAACACCACTCATTTCAGCCACAGGAGGGCAAACGTAGCGCTAAAGTACCAGTTGAAGAGGGATTCAGTCCATCTACATTTTCTGGGGAGCCCCTGAAGTTCAGCTCCCATCAGAGGACGCAACACATTGGCCCGACCCAGAGTTAAGCCCAGAGCAATGTACTTCGTGTGGGAATCCCCAGGTCAGACCCAAAACGTACAGGACCTGCATGGAGCTGCTTGATTTGAGAAGCTCAGGTCCATCCTCTGACCCGATGTCAAGCTTTGTTGTGTCTTTCTGTTCTGCACGCCCTTCCCTATAGAATCTCCTTTACAAAGAGGGGGAAAAGCCTCGTTGGGTCTAGGGAAGTTCTTCTTCTCTCTAAAATATCCTTTGACTCTGGCCTGACCTCAAGGCTAACCCTGCTTGGAAGGTGGACTAGAGACCTCCAGAAGTCCCTTCCAACGCGAGTTATCCTGTGAGTGTAGCAGGTTGAAGGTAGTCCCCTTTGCTTTGTACTGCTGAGTGTGTCTGGACACTGCACACAGTTCCAGGCCCTCAGTACAGAGGGGGGCCTGCAGAGGGTCACTGGGATGGCAACCGGAGAACATGGTG